CAACTTTGGGGCATTGGTTCTTACCTTCTACTTTGTCTAGGTAGGGTTTCTTGTTTCCACTGTTGTGTAGCAAACTGTAATAACTGGCCTGTAAAATTTCATGGGAAATTCTCTCTATTTTCCATCATGACATAAGAGGGCTAGTATTATAGACACGCACCAATACGTCTAGCTTTTTTAATCCATTCCAGGAATAAAATTCAGACCACCAGGCTCATTAAGCCAATGCTTTTACCTGCTGAGCCATTTTTCTCTGCACAAAAAAAATTATTTTGAGATTTTTTTACAGAAATCATTTAGGGATATCAAAATAAGTATTTAGGAAGCAGTTTGACAATATGATTATTCATCAAAACAAAATAGTAAATTCCTCACAAGGGTCTGTGAACTCTACAGCAAAAAGCTCTTGACCAGATTTATGGAACCAGTAATGAATTCCCAACTGTGGAGATGGTTCCAATCTAATCAGAAATCAATCAGTTGCCTCCATGTCAGTTGTGCCACTATTGCCCCCAAAGTTATATCACTGCCTGACCCATTATATATACAACAGGATCCACAGCTGTGTAAGACTACTGACAGTATTTCTCTTCAAGCAGCCTGCGAAACACCTTCTGCCACTATGAAGGATCAGCACTAAGAATGAAACCTTCAGCTTATTTTTTCTATGTCTTATGGTCTAAGTGTGTGATATCTAACAATAGAGCCTTACCATAGATTTCTGTTGGGCAGCCATGAACAATGGTAACATTGGCTTAGAAGCTGCTGATGTAGAAATCTGTAATGGGCCAAAGTACTGAGAACAAGGGTTGTTGAAATGCTTGGATCTAAATGGGACAGCTGTATCACCACTTCCAAGGTTCAGGGATCATCGTGGAAGAGGGGGCAAGAAAAGTATAAGAGCCATAGGACAGGGAACTCTATAGCAAAAGATGTTTTCTGGACATGATGTAGTCATTGCATTTATGGACTCAGGTGCTTGTGGTTGTATGTACAAGACCTGCACATGATTGGGCTTAACCACATTTTTATCATTGATGGAAGATGGCCCATCTGGTCTTACCACTTCTCAAATGATTGTTAGCAACTAGTGACTTTTTTGGGATTGGGGTGCCATTTTCTTCAGTCACATAATCATTGATGACTTGCCCTTGCTTCACGAAATAACCTCTCATCCACACTCGGACAAGAAACTAATTAAATTCAGCGGCCACATACAAAAAGATTTCATGGAATTAGAAGGATGTGTTGAGCAGAGAGTTCCCAGTAGGAGTGGGATGGAGATTAGAGAGGGAAATTGGGATTGAAAATGATTAAAATTTATTATATATGTGTATTAAACTGTTATAAAACCAAAAAATTAAAAAAGCTTGCTTTGACTATTGGAGGTACCTTAAGATTCTAGGTGAATTGTAAATAGATTTTTTCAATATTTAAAAATCTTCATTGGGGTTTTTGATTAGACTTTTGGGTCTATGGGAGCCACAATCATTCAGGAGCTGCCAGCTCCCTCAGGGCCTGAATCTGAGATGGACACAGATGGTGGCTCCCCTGGACTTTTGGGACTGCAGGAGTCACAATCAACCTGGAACTACTGGGATCTCTAGTCCCTGGCATTTGTGAGAGGGAAGGCAAGAGCTCCATGCCATCCCTTGTGGCTGGGGCAGGCAGTGCTCAATAAAGTGCCACCTGTGACCCTACCAAGAGCCCTGGAACTGGGCAGTTGTGTACCATTGTGGTGAGACAGTACAGGGTGGGGAGATGGAAGAGAGGGAGAGGCAGAATGGTTTGTTGGCTGTGGAGAGGGATGAATCTAGAGAGGTAAGGGTGGCGAGGAACAGGCTGATATGAATAGCCAGCTGGCTACCCAAGTCCAGGGAGATGTCTGGGCCTGGGCTATGGTCAAGGGCTAGGTCTCCAACTGGGGGCCTGGAGAAGCCCAGGGGGCCTGAGTTGATGCCTGAGGCTCCTGTTGTCACTGGTTGCCATGCAAGGGCCTGTGTGGTCTGGGCTAAGCCCTGGGGCTACATTGGTGTCAGAGGGCCATACTGCTACAGGGACAATGCCAATCTAGGTAGTCTGCACAGCGACCTGGGGCCGTGGTAACAACCCAAGTTGCTGCTGAGGGCCATGTCTGGGTCTGTGCTCCTGCTGCAGCTGGGGTCTGTTTGATGTCCATGAGCCATGTTAGCACAGAGACCATTGGAACTATGCTGTGCTGAGCCAGCCCTGCCCTTCACTGGCCCTGTGATAGCTGGTCTTGCCCCCACCCCCTACTGCCCTGTGAGCAGTAGGATACAGGTGAGCCAATCCTAAGGGCATGAGAGCAGGCGAGCTGACCCTCATCTGCTGTGTGGTGGCGTGGTTGAGGGAAAGATGCCCTCCCTCCCTTACCCATTACCACCAGCTGGCCCTGGGGTGGTCACAAGAGTAGGAGAGCTAGCCCTGACCCTCACTGGCTGTAGTGCATGAGAGAGCGGCTTCTGCTTTCCAATTGGGCAAAATACTAGAGCTGACCCTGTTGTGAGGGATGCAGCAGAGCCAGGGGTGTAAGAATAACAGATCTGACAACCACCACTATAAGCTACTATGTGGTGGCATGGATGAAGGAAAGATGCCTTCCCTCATCTGCCCCTTGCTACCTGTGGCAAGTGAGAGCTGACCACTTGGTCATGAGAGTAAGAGAATCAGCCCAACCCTACACCAGCTACAGCACACAGGAAAACAGGTCCTGAATCCCCTTAGGCAGCACACTAGAGCTGACCCATTGTTGGGGTTGCAGGTGAGCCAGTCCTCAAGGTGTGAGAGCAGGAGAGCTGATCCCATCCCCCTTGTATACCCCCTAAAGCAATTCAGAGAGAAGATCCTGCACCTTGCCTGGGCAGAACAGTAGACCTGGCCCTGGTGATATCAGTGAGGGGAACTGAGATCTGAGTGCCCGAGAGCAAGAGCAGTAGCCCCACTCCTTGTTCTAGGCTGCATTAGGAGAGCTAGCTGAGGCAGTGCTGGAGAGCTCATCTGTGTAGTGAGGATGAGGGAAAGCTAGCAAGTGGACCAACCCAGCTATTATCCAGGCCCAGAACAAGGTCTAAGAGCTGGCCCACTCCAACATCCACCTCATCTATTGAAAGACCCCAGCATACTAGCTTAGCCTAACGCCATTTCAAGTAAGGTCTGAAAAGCGCGGGGTGTCTACGGCCGGCCTCCTGGCCCCAGAAAAGGGTACTAAAGGTCAGAAAAACAGCTTGGAGCCAGACAGCAGGCGTGTCAAGCTTGGGGAAAAACCACGAGCCGCCCTGAGTTTGAACCCGGCCTCATTTGAATCGTCCAATCAGAACCCTGTAAACCATGGGCTGCCCTGAGTTTGAACCCGCCCTCCTCGTGCTCCTGATGCCCGACCCTATAAAAACCCTCCGCTCCAGCCCGTGGGCGCGCCAGTCTCTTGAGCTTCTTGAGGGACTGCGTTGCCCCGGGTACCTGTGTTCCTGAATAAAGCCTCTTGCTGTTTGCATCTGACTCGTGGTCTCGGTGTGATCTCTGGGCGAGGGTCTCTCCAGAGGGAAGACTGCCTTCGGGGGTCTTTCACTATGAACTGTTGGAGCAGGTGAAGGGGATGGATCTGCAGATCCAAAACAGCAGGATCTCTATGACACAGGACAACAGGATATCCAATAAGAGCCCCAGCGAGAGCCCATTATCAGTGGTATGGCAAAAACCAGAGGCCTTGAGTCAGACCAATGCCTGGTGACAATGAATCTTGTAAGAAAAAGATGGACTAGTGTATAGTTGGAAGTTTTTCTGTGTCTCGCCTGCTTCTGCAGCTGCTCAGACCCAAGTAAACACAAAGAGGCTTATATTATTTTTAAACTATGGCCATGGCAGGCTTCTTGCTAGCTAGCTCTTATATCTTAAATTAGCCCATTTCTATAAACCTATACCTTGCCACATGGCTTGTAGCTTACCGGTACTTTACACCTTGCTTCTTCTGGTGGTGGCTAGCAGCATCTGCCCCACTCTCCTTTCTTCTCTCCTATCTCTCTTGGATTTTCCCACCTGGCTCCATCCTGCCCTGTCATAGGCCAATGTATCTTTATTTATCAACCAATCAGAGCAACATATATTCACAGCATTCCACAACACTAAAGGGTAAATTGTGTGCCTCAACCAGCCACACTATAGCTTCCAAGTCAAGATTCTTTTGTTTGTTTGTTTGTTTTGTTTTTATTTTTATTTGGTTTGGTTTTTGGTTTAATTTAAGTTTGGTTTTGTTTAGGGTGTAGGTTGCAAGTGCAGAAGGAAGACATGAGGGGACAGGGAAATAACTAGGATTGGAATGCATGATGTGAAATCTGCAAAGAATCAATAAAAGTTAAAAAACTGATTAAATTTTAAAACTCATTTTGGGCCATGTATACATTTGAGTGATACTGGATCTTCTATATCTTATCTATGAGCATGAGATAATTTCCATTCCTTTGTGTCTTTAGTTTCTTTTAGCAGAATTTTATGGTTTTCAGTCTATAAGTCTTTTAGATCTTTTATTAGTTTTATTCCTCAGTATCTTCCTCTTGGATACTATCATAATGGTCTGTTCTCTTCATTTCTGTCTTAGATTGTTCAGTGTTGGAGTGTAACACTCTGTATGTACTTGCATCTATATGTGAACTTTGTATTCTAAAAACATAGTGAAGATGTCATCTCTGGCAGCTTAAGATCTTTAAACTATTCTACATATATCATATTGTCTGTAACTAGAGATAATTTTAATTATGTATTTTCTTGAATTTTTTTCTTTTCTCATTTAATTGTTCTGCCTAAGATTTCTATTAGCATATAACAAAAATGGATAAAATAGCTGTCCTTATCTTTTCCCATACTGTAGAGGCAACATTTTTAGTATTTTACATTAAATTGAAAGTTTTCTCTTGAAGCTATTCCTTATTTTCTATTTGGCTTTATGTTAAGAAAGAGCTTATTTTGAAATAATATGGCCTTATCTCTTAAGACAGTAAATGTTGTATTGGAATGCACCCAGAAAAGATTATACATCCATCAGCTTAGTCTCCTCATGACACTTGAATGAAGGTCCAGAACTTAGGCATGATCGGCACACAGATAATGACAAAGGGACAGAGTCTGCTCACATTTGGGTTTAAGCAGCTTCAGTGTCCCTTGAATGCATCTTAAGGTTAAGTAGTTTCTTGCAACTGTCAATTCACATTGCAAGCAGCTCTTCTGGTCATCTTCCCCACACTTCTTGTGGTATGTTCTCCTTTCTTGGTCTTCCAACATGGTTGCCTCCTCTTTGTTCCTCTCGCCTCTTTAAAGCTGCCTCTGGCTTAAAATTCAAATAAACATGGATTCTAGTGGTGAGATTGTGCTTCATTCTCAAGGTTTCTAACCTTACAAGTAACATTATAGCTATGTTTTACAAACTGTTAGAGTGTATCCCCCCAGGAGTACATTTATGAGAAGTTTGGTCTTCAAAGTGGCATGTTGACAAGTGGTGGAAATATCAGGGAGTTGGGTTTGAGACAAGGGGATTAAGACAATGAGGTTGCTGTGCTCAGCAGGGATTAAGGTAGTACTGGTGTGATTCCACTTAGTTCCTGAGGGATTAAGTTACCATTACAAGGCAACACTCTTAGGCAGCTCTTTTGATGAGACTTCATTTCTAGAAGACACAAAAATCAGAGAAAACATCCAGTTTCTCTGGCTCTTACAATCTTTCTGCCAACTCTTCCTTAATGTTCCTTGAGTCTTAGGTAGAGAAATTGTGTTGTCAGAGTATACAAATTGATATAAAAATCAGCAAATACTAATTAACACCTTAAAATTAATAAGATGGCAACACCATTCATTACCTGGTCACCGGATTCCTTTCTTGCTACATAATCTGTTCTGAACTTGCTCCTGTCATTATAAAGACATACACTATTGAGTGTCAGCAGAGCCAACTGAAATAGAATCCTATATTCTAGAACTTCTAGGATTGTGAGATAAGCAAGCCTGTTTTTTCATGTATTACTCATCCTTAGGTATTTTTGTTATAGCAAAATAAAACAGATTCATACAACTGTTCACATTCTCAAAAGGTTTTTCACATAACTCCAGCCTTTTGGTTCAAATGGATGAATGCTGTTGTGATTCACACACACACACACACACACACACACACACACACACACACACGTTTTTTTTTTCTTTTTGAGACAGGGTTTCTCTGTGTAGATTTGCATCTTTCCTATAACTTGCTTTGGAGACCAGGCTGGCCTCAAACTCACAGAGATCTGCCTGCCTCTGCCTCCCGAGTGCTGGGATTAAAGGCGTACACCACCACCGCCCGGCTACACACGTTGTTTTATAAAGCTGACTACTTGGTATTGGATAACCACTTATGGGACTCATCCATGAGGAAAACCTATTCTCCCTTTCTTAGCAGTTATTAATGGCCTGCAGCTCTTTATCAAGGGATGGTGCCTTCTGAGGTTTGCTCCTCCCGCATTGGTATGTCAGTTGGTATTGTTACTTTTCAGTTAATATTTAAGCAGCCATATTTCTGAGGTGTCATGGCCAGAAACCACCATCACTTCTGGCTCTAAATTTTCCCCCACACCCTCTCCTGTGATGTTCCCTGAGCTCTAGTAACTGTGTTGTAGGTGTATCAAATAAGGCTTGGTGCCCCACATTCAGTTCTCTGCATTGACCACTTGGAGCTTTCCAGAATGGTTTGTGTCTGCTGAAATAGAAGCTTCTTTGATGAGGGGAGAGAGCTGCAGTTAGCTGTAGATATAAGGATAAGTACTAAGAAGCACATATAATTTAGAACTTTATTTGCAATTAGTTATGTTAAAATATGTATAATTGTGAGAAAATCGTGTCAACTTATTGTGAGTTTTTTTAAATCCAGGTATTTGGCTTTATACATATAAGATCACCATAAAACATAGGAACTTTTGAACAATATATTAACGTCATGTGAAATGGCAGTGTTATAGTGTAGGTTTTTCCTAAGTCATAGTTTTGAGAACATATTGGCAAGAGTATTTTCTTAATTACACACACACACACACACACACACACACACACACACACACGGGCTAATGAAAATTTGGCTGTGGTAATATCATAGCGGCATTAATGAATATACTGTCCGAGTGAACACTATTTGTATTCAAACTCTAGCATTCATTGAAATGATACTTGACTTTCTAGAGCAGAATGCTTATACTCAGGCATGCATACACTTACACACATGGAGTTGGTAGTTTTATGTTACTTAACATAAATTATGTAAACAAGTACATCAGCAAAATACTCTTCAATAAAATTAAGCATTTTAAAGAAAAAATTACATCATTCTTTGCCCAGAAGTTGTTTTTTGAAAATAAAATAGCAGCTATAACAAATAACATTTACTTCACATGAACAACATAGCCAACACCAGGAATCTCTGTCACATGGTGGCTTGCATTAAAGAAGAATTGCTCTGCAGAATATAGACATATAAATAAGGGGAGAAAGTACTCGACGGCCACTTCTGACAATGGGAATCATTTCTAAGGCATTCTTTCAGATTCTTCTTCTGTATGAGGAGAAAATGTTAATGGAAGATGGATGTTTCCTTCTAATATGTTTTTAATTTATAATGAGTTGAGAGTCATAGAACAAAGAACTCTCTTGAAGGGACAGAGCTGAGAGATGGTGGAAATTTAGTAGTTAACTTAGTCATACTGTGAGGGGTAGGAAGGTCTAGGTTTCCAAAAGACCCAGGGTTTTTTTGGTCCCAACAGACCTTCTGTGTTTTTATATGCAGTAGTAAAATATGTGAGCAGTGTGCTGGGGAAGACACACAGTTTTGTGTCCATCTGTGATGTGCTACCAATCATTGCCTACAAGCTCAGAGTATGTCACCTTCCAAGATAAATAGCTCTCCATCGGAGACTGGCTGCTACACAACTGCCTTGTGTGGAATCATTTGAATAAAAGCAGAGTAATGGGATTGTAATTGGGAACAGGGGCTGGGGAACCAGTCTTATATACTCTAAAAGTAGGAAGCTCTATGGGAGTCCCAAGTAGTTTAAACAATAACCCAAATTAATGTGTTGGGACATCAGAACTGCCCATGAATCACCAGGATTCTTTGTTTTTATAGGCTCTCTTTCCTGCTATTAAAAAGACTATGTGCTTTGGGATATGTGTCCTTAGTTTCTGCTGTTTCTGAGAGAAAAAGAGGGTGTTGCACTCATTCCCAACATGTTGGAGAGCAGTGGACCCAAAGAACTATAGGGACACTAATATTGAGGTATGTGGGATTATGGTAAAGTAAAGCAATAATGAAAATGCCGTCCTGGGATTATGGAGTACGTACTTGAATCAAGCATAGCACCTGGTGCTCTTGTATTCTAGAAACTGCCTTTGCTGTTGGCCAGATCGGATTTACTTGTTCTCTTTCACTCCCACTTCCATGCCGTCACAAACCCAGAGTCATGGATCCCAATACAATATTGCGTTTCATTAACAAAAGGAAGATAGATTTCAAAACGGATGCCAAGAATGATGCTGAGGCTGGAAGTATAATTTAACTCTTAAGTGGCCTCTACTTTCTCACAGTAAACGAGCTGTTATTTTAAATAGTTATTATACTATTTTTGAAACATGATGAAATGGTTGCCTTCCACAGCAGGTGCTGTGCAGATGAAGAAAGTGTCTCAAGAAGGCCAATTCCAAATTTCGTGTTACTCTCATCTGAGCCCCAACTATTTGGTATTGACTTCTTAGAAATTAAATACTAGTAGAAGGTTTTCTTTTCCCTCATTAAAACCAGTCTGTTTTATTTAAGCAGTAGTTCATAACCAGGTGTGATTTTTGGGTCCTAAGATGCCTTTGGCAACATTTTAAATCAGCTCTGGTTTCATGATTTTGAGGAAGGTGGTACTGGTGCCACATGGGTAGAGGCCAAGATGTTTCTGAACACTGTGTTGTGCCTGAGAAAACATTTCCCCCAGAGGATTGTACAGCTGCAGATGTCAGTGGTAAGGAAGTAGAAAAAATATGATTTAAAGTCATCTTTTAAAAAGCATATTATATGATTAAATAGGTTGGTTTGGCAGTTTTAGCTAAATACATTTTAAGATCCATCTGTGACTGGGATAGAATTTTAGGAGAGCAAACATAAAATTAATCTTATTCTATGATTCCCTAAGCCCCCAGTTCTTTTCCACACTCAAAAATGTTGGCACATATGAACTACTTGTACAGAAAATACCCTCCAGAGTTTCTCCCTGCCTAGAAGAGATCATGGGAAGAGTGGCCATCCAGGTGGACACTAATTCTATCTTGCTTATTTGAATGGCCAGTAAACTAGACAGTCATGAGGGAGGTGTCCGATTGTAGCACTGGACTTGCCCAACTCTCCATTAACTGCAGTCATGATGACACCAAGGGCCCTAACATTACATCCTACGTTTATACCTCTTTGTTTTCCTAATGTCTTTCAAAGTCTAAAACAAAACTTGTAGTAGAGATCTGGAGAGCAGGTGAGCTTTGTATTGCATTTATTTTCATAATAAGAAAATCATTCAGGTTTGCTCACTGGAACAAATTACTCACTTATTGAATCAGCAAAGCACAATATTACTTACAAACTGTTCTCCACTGGTACTCATAGCCAAGGAAAGACAGTTCTGGCATAATGTAATGGCATCCCAAATATTATAGCATTAATTCAAGTAACCAGACAGAAAGAATAATCCAGCAGGCCTGGGAACATTGATGTTCTGTTCCTGGAGCTTATTAGCTGTTTAAAATCCAAAACAGTCAAGTAGCCCAGAGATGCAGATGTGAAAGCAAATATAATAGTAATTTTGTAAAAGAACTTGGAAAGGGAGAGGTGGTCAGCTATTGGCCAAGTGAATTTTTTACTTTGACAGTGAAATGGAGGAGGGAAAAATGCATTTTCTTTTAAGCTAATAAAACAAATCCGAGTGCAGTTCTTAATGATGCTGTCCAAACTACATTCATATTGTTGCTGTTGCCCCGAGAAGCATAAATGAATATAAACATCTGTGCACAGCCCATGCATTTGTGCACGACATGCTCACGCTGTAAAGTTTCCCATAAAACAAAGCAGCCTGGATATTACTCAGGCTTATTTTATAATGCTGCCTGGGTTTGAGAATGCATAGAGGGTTATTATACACTCATAAATTCAGGCCAATTAGGCAGAGAAACATTCCAAGCATAGTGCCACATGTTCTTGCATTCTATTACCTCCTTTAGGTGCTATTCTGCAGGAGGAGGAGCCCTCAGCAGAACTTTATACACAACGTGTTTTCTTGACAAGAAGAGCATGCACGTTTATAGGTGTCTGGCTTGCTTAAATCCACTTTTTCATATGGGCGAGTGTCTCGGCCCCTGTGACTGCTAAAGGCAGGAGAAGACTACTCAAATGTAGAATATAAGACATATAGAGCAAATCTAAACATGCTCTACTCTTTATAGCATTTAAAAGTCTTGTTGAAACTTACTGGATTTGTTTTTATTCTCCAATGGTTTCATACACGTGTCTAATAGCTGTTTTTCTCCCATTATCTTCTTACCCCACCCTAGTCTCTCCTTCTGAAAGCCTTCTTTCCAACAAATTCTCTTCCTACTTGCATCACTTTGCGTGAAAGACTAAGTGAGTTTCATAAGGGTTGCTTGCATGAGTGTGAGTGAGAAGTTATTTATTGGAGCATGGAAAACTTACTATTGGCCACACCGCTGAAGAAAATAACATCCCTATTTCCAGGACTATTATAGTGTCAATAGTCCTCAAGCATGGATTGGGACCTCATGAGGTCTTCCACATCAGTGATAAAATGTTCTGTGACAAACTTTTCTTTGGGAGATGGCAATGCCATGTGTACTCCCCAGATAAGGAGCCATGGCAGACTAATGTATAGATTCCATCAAAGTCCAACTTGGCAAATCAATGAGTTTT